ATCACACAAAATGTTGTACTATTTATATTCAAGATACACAACTTGGAATTTTATAAAGTTAATGGTATTAGAGCCATCAAATTTTCGCTAATCATAATTTAAGATGGTTATCTCTCTCCATTTTCAGGTCGTTTTGCACAAATTCTATGTAAACATCTATCATCTTTGAAAGAACACAATATTTCTTTATTTCAAACAAAAAAAGAACACAATATTTTCAAACCTTAAGCATCTGGTATGGCTTTCAAATCCAATGAAAGGATCATCAAACATGGGGCGACTTTTTTTAGTTTGAAAGAAAACACAATTGTAAGCAAATATGGGAAAACTTCACACATGTTTAGTCTATGATAGTGGGCCGGGTTGGGCAAACTCGCCATGAAGAGTCTCTGAGCCCATCTTTACTTTTACAAAGATAACCACAATCGAATTTGTCTTCTATGGTTGTGAAACTCGACGGAGGAGGATAATACTTATTAATTATTATACTGTTCGACTAGTCGCATTTCCGTGCTCTTTGGAATTTGTTATAGAATTATGAATAATTTATCTATAACGACGAGTTGTTTTTATAAACAAATGTAATAAGAATCTTATTCTTAAGGACGTGGTTTGAAACATTCAAAAGAATAGGGAGACTTTTTCTTATTTTCTTAAAAACGAAGACACAAAAAAAAGCCTATCTTTTAGAAGAATTCAAAGTCAACGGTAATAAAATTCAAATGAAGAAGGCTAAAACGACAAAAATAAGTCTTGGTTGACTATTAAAATTAACGAAAAGTGACGCAATCAACACATGATTTTCCTTTGGTCCTTTTCCCGTACGGATTTTCGTTACGCGTACAAGTCTCTGAGTCTGAAGCACCGGATCGGCAACCAAACCTGAAAAACATTTGGATCGTGGGTTAATGTGGTTCGAGCGGATTCAACCGGGTTTGATGATATTTTAAAATTATTAGTATACTTAATCTTATACTTTTCTAATATCAAACAAAACACTTAAATAAAGAATACACATAAATATCATAAATATTAAGAAGCAATTAATTCTAGTAGTTTTGATGATTTAGACAAAGAATGTAGAAAATAAATCTATGATTTCTCTTATACGTATCTTATAGTGTTAGCTATTGAATTTCAGAACAAAAAATTCAAAGAAAACTAGGAAAATAAATGTAATTAGAGAAACCGTAAACGTCATTACTCATACCTTTTTAATTAT